CCCTACCAAGGCCGTCGTGCCTTAGCTTGGTCCTTATCTCCTCCTCAACTTGGGGATCTCGGTCACGCACCTTACTCCAACCAGCGACCCTCGAAGGTGGGGGTTGGCACTGGTCCCTGTTGATGGGGCACTGCTGGTTGACCCCCGTCCTCTCCCTGCGGCAAGGGCCTGCCTCTGCCTCAGGAAACCCAAGTCTATGTGGGGCGTATGTAACATGACTACCTCAAAGGCGTCTTCGGTATCTAGAGACTGGAGGATGTTGAAGTCGGGCCACGAATCTCTCCCTGAGGTCCCACCTCGGCGTGCGAAGGAACAAAAAGCTCTCTGGTCCCGAACTCCTCAACTTGAAAGGCACCCTCTACTTTTGCCTCAGTAACCCTATCAAGGTCTTCCTCCAAGTTCTGCTCAACCTCTTGTTGCGCTATCTGATCAAAGAGTTCAGACCACTGTGAAGGGTTGAAAGGTTGGAGGAGCTATGAAAACTTCTTATACCCTACTGTGTAGTTCAGAAGAAGATAAGTGGCCCGGCCAAACCCGTCGTTGCCGACAAACTTTCAAACAGTGATGAGGTCAGCAAAGTTCACCAAAGACCGAGGAGGAGGAGCGACTTCCCGGGCAGAGACGTCTGCACAAGAAAAAAGGTTATTAACACTTGCAAAATATCCCAAGGATAGTAAAAAACTAGACTCGAAGAAACCGATATACTTGTCGTTCTCCATTCAAGAAAGCACATCAAACCATCGTACTCAGGACCGGTTCCCTTCTCCCAAGATCCACTGAAGATCAAAAGGTCATCCTTGTACCCTTTATTCAAATCAGGGAGGTGAGTTACAAGGTACATGGATGGATCCCTGGCCTTGAGGTAGAAATTCTGCTGGGGCATGACCCTCAATAGGGAGTAGCTGAAAAGGATATCGTTGAGCCCAACGTTTACCCCGAGGCGGTTATTAAGCTCTAAGACCCCCATTATTATCCTAAAGACATTAAGGCAACACTGCCCGGGGAAGAGGTTGAAATAGGAGAGGAAATGGAGGAGCAGAGGAGGCAGAGGGAACCTAATTTCACCCTCTATGATTGCTTTGGTGTAAAAAGACATCTCATCCTCAGCCCCGAGATTACAGGTATACAGATTTGAGTCGTACTCTTCTATACATACATTTTGGGGGATGTGATATCGAACCCTAAACCTATTGATCTGCTAGTCTCCCTTCACTTTGTACTTCTTTGGCCTCGAGGAACTAGCCTAGGGGTCCTGGTGACAGGGTGGCATCAGGGCATCTCCAATTAAAATAAAAAAGAAAAGGGGAAAGGAAAAGAGTTTTCCTATAAGGAACCCTGAGAGGTTTCCTGAGGGTTGGTCAAACGATGACAACCAGAAATACCTCTGATTACCGGAGAATGAAAAGCAAAACCCAGAAGAAGGATGAAAAGAAGGGGGATGCAAGGACTCACCAGAATGCAAACGAAAATTTCTGAAGAACTTGGAGTGATTCCTTTCTCGAGGAAGGTTTAGAAGCAAGAGGGGGTTTGCTAGTCTAAACTCCGGTGATGACTAACTGGTAGACGATGTGATGAGAAGGTTTCCAGCAAAGTTTTTCGGCGAAAGTTTTCTGAGTTCGAAAATGGTAAAAGTGTGGGAAAGAGAGAGAAAGTCCGTTTATATAGCACCCGTCCCCATCATTGGGCATGAAGCACGGAGTGGATCATTTAATGCGCACGACCCCCTAAGCAGTGAAAAATGACTGGAAGTAATGATGGGGTGGTTGGGGCAGTTGCAGAGCTCTTCGTCTTCTTACGACGCGTGTCCTCGGTGTTAGAAGATCGAAGGCTGGGAGGCAGTTGATGGAACATTTTCAGACACTCCTAGATGATGACACGTGTATTCGACGTCAATAGAGACTCTCTGCCTGTGATCCCGACACGTCTTTGTCGGTTTACAACCCCCTGCCCTGAGGATACTATTCACAGGGACCAAGGATCCCTCACACGCCGTGGATCGACACGTATTCCTTGACAGTTTGGGTATATCGGTCCTAATCATTCTAGTCCCTCGACACCGAGGTGTGTCTGTCCACATGGACATTTCTGCTCCTGCAGGGGTTATTGATGGACAAACCACTAGCCTAGGCTAGGCTAGACCAGCCATCATGACCTCGTCTTACTCAAATGGTGTCAAGAGGCACAAGAAAGCAGAAGGCTCAACCAGAGGGGGATGACCACGTGACATATTGTGTCAGATCAGAGACAAAAAGATCGGAATGCCCTCGTTGACACACGACTTGGGAAAGCAACTATTTAATGCACCATTCCCTTGATAAGACAACATTTTAACGTATGAGAGCCTGGAAGTGAAAGGTAGTAAATGTTCTAATGCCTAGGCATTTAATACACCTCCGCCGAGAGAAGGTCACAAAACATTCGGCAAACCAAGGAGAAAACATTAGTTGTTCGGGGTCTCGAGCAGTTAAGAATGAGAACATTACTCATAGAAATTAGTGTGCACTGCCCACCTCCAATGATTACCTACTAGCTACGCTGTCAGCAATGATGAGTTTTTTAAAAGTATAAATAGTCCTCACAATCACATTAAAGAGGTACGCAAAAAACACTTTCTCAAGCATCATACAATATTTTCTTCTTCTCCTCTCTCAAGGAACTGACTTGATCGTCGGAGGGAATACGCCGAAAAACACTCTAGCGCGCTTCTAATCTGTCTTTCTCTGTTCCAGAAACCTCTCTTAGCCTCATAGGACCAATCTGGTGACCCACAAAAACTACTCATTACCATTTATCAGGCCACCTCCGGCTCTTACAACCTGTTCCAAGTAGCAAGATTGACCACTCGATTGACGGACTCGTGTCACCACGGAAGAGATCTGTTATTGTGTTTATATTGTGTAAGATCGTGCACGCACAGATATAAAAGCAAGAAAGAATTAGAATAAATTTATATAATAAAATACAATACAATTTAAATCTCAAAAGATAAACAAAATATTTTTTTCTTTTCACGATTGAAATCTCTTTAAATTTTAATTCAAAGTTAATTTAATGACTAATATTAACACTCTAAATTTAATAGAAAAAATAAACTCTTAATGGCGTGTTTGATGTGACTTTTTAAAAGTATTTTTAATACTTATAATTTTTTATAAGTACTTTAAAAAAAAATAGTTTTTGAAATCGTTTTACCAACACCACCACCTTCACCACCACCCCCCCCACCGCCCCCCCCCACCACCACCACAGCTATCTCTACTACCACTGTTATCGCCACCCTATCACACCCATTGCCCCACCACTACTCACCACCCCCACCCCCCCACCGTCCCACCATCACCACCACCACTACTACTATTGTCTTACCACCACCACCACCCCCACTACCCCACCAACATCACCACCACCCCACCACTATCACTGCTACCCCACCACCTTCACCATCCTATAACCATCACTATTGTCGCACCTTACCATTGCCGCCGCCATCCCCCCATCACCACCACTGTCGTCGTTGTCGCCTCCACCACCACCAACTACCACCATCAACTGCTTCCACCATCGTCCACCGACTCCATCTCACTACTATCGTCATCTCATTCTTTTATTTATTATCATTATCACCATAATCCCATTACCACCGTCTCCTATCGTCAACACCCACCACCACCATTGTTGCCGACTGTCATTTACTATCACAACCCACCACTATCCGTAGTCGCGCCACCATCGCCAACAGCCACTGTCACCCATCCCCACCACATCAACCACAACTACCCGTCATCACTCACCATTATCGCCACCTACTGTCACCCATCCCCACCACACCTACCACCACTGCCATTCGCCACCACTCATCATACTACTTCCTAGAAACACCTGTCGTCGCCCATCACCATTATCATCATTGTCCATCACCGCAACCCACCACAAACTCATCACCGTCGTTATCCCACCAACGTCGTTACCAACCACTATCATCGTCGCCCACCACCCCTAACACCCACCACTACCATCATCGTTTCCTACGGTTGCCACTACTACCATTATAGCCTAAAACCCACCATCACCGTTGTCATTCATCACAACCATCACTGTCTCCTACCACCATTACCATCGCTCACTCCCGCTACAAATCAGTACTTCAATTCTTTTTTTTTCTCCTTTATGTTTGTGATTTAATTTTGGATGTGAATACAAATATGTTTATTATTGACCATTTTTTATTACTCTATGCCTATTAAGCACAGATAATAACTAGTAAATTTATATGATTAAATGCGATTAAAGAAAAAGTTATATATACTTATATAAAAGAAATATGAGATATTAATAATAAATTACTAATGACTCTCTAACGGGCACAACCCACACCTCTTCATTTATTAAGAGTATAGATAAAATTTTTACATATTTTATGTTTTAAAAATATAAATGTATCAAATGCCCTATACTCAGAGCATAATATTATAGTATATATAGTATTAGTATTTTGAAGAATATCATCTTTTTATCTTTACTCTGAAAAAATTGATTTGTAAAATTGACATAACGATGCAACATATCATTTAGACAAACGAATCTAATTTGAGTTATAAAATACCAAAAAAGAAAAATTAGAGGGTTTTTACGAATCAACACTTTTTTTAAATCAATTTTTTAAATAATTGTCACAAATGTATAAAAAACGCCATAGTCCAAGAAAAAGGAAAAATAAAAGAGAAATAAAAAAATAGCTCCTTCAAATTTTGCGAGTTTAAATCGAATTTATTGAGGTTATTATTTTTAAACGAACTAAATTTAAAATGAGTCAAATTTGAATTAAACTCGAACATCTTAAACTATTTCATACAGAATTTTGAGAGATCGAATCGAGGCAAATTTAATTTTTTAGATTTATTTTTTAAACAAAGGTGAACAAATATTTAACTTTTACGCGTTTAAAAAATGAATCAAGTTCGAATCCAAAACAAGCCAACCTCGATAGATTATCTGGGCCCTATCTCCATCCCCGCACGACGCCGTTGGAAAGTTGTTGACAGTTTCGCTTGGCCTCTTCCTCAAGTTCAATTTTTTTCCCGTGGGGGTCAAGAACAATCGGCGTAGTTCTTCGATTTTCTGAAGAATTGAAGAAGAAAATGGCAGGTCATAGTTTATGGGGTCACTTACCACTACTGGTGAGAGCGAACTCGAAAGAATCGGTGGAGTATATACTTCAAGCCCTCTGGAGAACTCGCAAGACCGGTCTCGATGCCGCCGATCGCGATATCATCCGTGATATGCTCCAGCTTCATAGCGACACCGACCTCGACCCTGTACTACTCTCTCTCTCTCTCTCTCTCTCTCTCTCCATTGTTTATGTGGGTATTGATATATGTAATCGCTCGCATAACGGAAGTGAAATGGACTGAGCTACTCGTTTGTGACCCAGATAATTTTATATCTGCTTTTGGTTTTGATTATATTGATGGTTATAGTATTCTATTGGGCACAATCTTAAGTTGGTGGTGCCTCTACTGCTTGCATTTGGGTATAGTAACTTGTGGATTAGTGCAGTTTAGCATGGTATGGACTCAGATTAAGGATATTATTAGAGCTGAATTTTTTGTTGTTTGAAGTTAGATGTTCGGTAAACTGGGTTTCAGTCTACGTTAATGCATATCTAATTTTGAATTTTGTACTAGTGTACTAGAGCGGAAATCAAAATTTTGGTTTTCAAACACTAAGACAAAAGGTTGCATGTTTGGAGCTCTAAGAGGGTCAATATGATAGTTTTGATACATTGGGCCCTTGTGGAGCGAGCTTTTTTGTGGGCAAAACAAAGGTTTGATAAGTAAAATAAAAAGTCCCAATTAACAAAGCTCTTGGAACCGTTCAGAGTATTTCCAAGAAAGCTGGTGTTTCCTTGGGAGCCCTTGGATTAGCACCATTTTTTAGCTTTTCCTTGAGGTCTTAACTCAGCTCCAGGCCCATTGATGTAAATTGCGGAAAGTGTATGTGCAATGAAATTTTGGAAAAAAGCTTGGGTGAGGAACAAAGAATTCTAATGGAAAATGAGTGTCTTGACTTCTGAACATGCTAATATGTCTGGCTTCATTGTTGGGATGTATGTGGTTTCTCTTAGAATTGGTTGGTAGTAACATGTTCAAGTTCAGTTTATGTTTACTTGGATAAGTTGAGTGCATGAGCTAATTTGTTGGAAGCAATCATTAAAATTGTATTCTACATTGTAATGAAAGGAATTAGGCTGAACGTGATTGCTCTTCGGAGTAGTTCTAGGTTTTCTCTTTCTCTTTTTTTTTTGAATCTATCGTTCAGTTTGTGTTTTATGTCGGATGCGGCCAAATGGCTCTACCACTACATTCAGGAATTAATCTCCTACAAAATTATACAAATGAACTTCCATGTTATTCATAAAAGATTTGTAGAGATTGTATGTTATTACTATTACACTTGGATTAAGGTTCACCTCTCTAGCATATAGTAGCACTTATCAAACAAATTGTGCAGGGAAAGTCTACTTTTGTTCTCCTTATGCAGTAGCGACACATGAAGAACTGCCATGCTGTCAATACTTTCTTTCTCTCCCGTCCTTTCTCACACACACATGATAATCAATGCTGCTCTATCTGACAAAGCAAATCACAAATAATTTTCTGTTCTGCAGCTTCTTGTATGCCTTCGCATGTTGATTCGCAGGCTTGTTTATGAGAATGTTAGCAAGGATGAGATTCAGAAGCTATTTCCCGCCGAAGTCCTGCCCGAAATACAAAGATTATTGACACTTTTGTTGCAAAAATTTCAGAGGGAGTGGCAGGAAGATATACAAAAAGATCAGGTGAGAAATTCAGTTGGAAAGATATGATCACGTTGATCCACTAGGTAGGGTGCAAGAGCATGACTTTGAATTTTCCCTAATTTATATTCAGGTCACCTTGCCCAACTTGAAGACAATGACATGGAACATGGCAAATCAGGACACAGAATTGTCAGACCCAATGGCGGTTATCAATCTGAAGGTCTGAACTTTTGGCATGCAGTGCTTCTCATTGTTCCCTTTCAGTTTGGACCAACTTGACAATGGAAGAAAATTTGACTTTTTAGGTGGAAAATGGAATTATGCTACATGCCTATAAAATGGACCTAGAATTCGGTATTGTTATTGATGATCACTTTACTTTCTGCAGCTTTCTGATGCACGGTCTAATGCAGGAGAAGTGGATGTGAAGTTCCAGTTAGCTAAAGATACTCTACAAACAATGTTGAAATCTATGTACTGTATAAAAGACCAGCTGTCTGATTCAGTGAGTGCCACCTTGAGATTCACTCACCTTGTTTGATTAAATGTTCAAGAAGTGTATCTACTTCTGTTATCGAGAACAATCCTTTATTGTTGGGTATCTGAATACGGCTTAATAATGTCGGCAGGGTGAAAAATCAGACATACAGCTATCCCAGGATAGAAACATGGTTTAGCTCTCCCTTCCGTCTGAACTGAGAAGGTATGTCATGCCCTTGTTATCATTTAAATCTTCTGAATTCCAATAGGAATCCTTCATTAATGGGTGAAATTCACTGGATAACATGATGTATCTGTTTGGTCACCACGTAATTGATCTCCCAACTGCCATCTAAAGTTTCCTTGACAATATTGAGTCTAAAACTATTAAGAATTCCGGCTTAATGTTCAAGCTGGAGTCTGTTTGTTGATGCAGAAGAGAGGGGAGGGAGAGAAAATAATTAGGATTAATCTATTGAGAATCTGAGATCATCTTTTCCTACTGAAATGCCTCTTTCCCAGTGTTTGGATTTCTCAATCTGCTCTGGGTGTGCTAGCTGCTAAAGGCATTTATGACTTGAAACAGTTATTAGAATTTTGAAATTTGGATGAACGAAAATATGGCATACACTTGTTCATTTTCTAGACTAAATCGAGTCAAATTGTGATCACCATAGTAAATAAGTATAGGTTTGAATTTTGTGTATCACTTGTTCAATAGGCCGTGTGCTATAATTGTATGTACTTTCTTCATATTTGAACCTTCCAAAAAGGAGAAAAAAAAAAAAGGAATAATACTGTAGCCCGAGCTACTTATGTTGAATGATGTTACTGCTACACTTAATGTCTTATGAACTGTTATTCCACCAGGAAGAGTGCCTCTAAAACAAGAGGAATACAGTTGATGCTAGACTGCTAGTGGAAGGAAACCATCCTATTTATCTCACTTATCTTTGTATAATTGACAAGTGAAATACCTTATATACCCTGTCCAATACTATCAGTACCATGAACACAGGAACAAAACAGTAAATTGACCATTTGGATCCCGTAAATCAACATAATGTGGGACCCTCCAAGCCATTTGAAACGTCGCATTTTCTTTTTTTTCTTTTTCTACTTGGATGGTGATTCACCTGTGATGTGTGCTTTTCCCTAGTTGCTTGACAAGAGGATACTTCTGTTTCTTCTAAGCAGTCCAGTTTGTACTAGTTCCAATAGTTTTCACAATGTTGCATCAATTTGAGCCAAACCCACAAATGGTCCCTCTCCCTTTCCCTATGTAGGCTTTAGTTATACTGTGCTTCAAAAGAAGTCCATTTGTATCTTTGATAAAACACATAGGCAAGTTGTGAAATAGCTTGCACTTTTTATTTATGTTTGCATATCTGAACATCCATTGGAATTGAACCAGCCCCTCTCTAACGTATATGCATGTGTGTTTTAAATGGTGTTCCATAGTATTATGATCCCCATACTGTTTTTTCTTTTTCAATTTTGCTCTTGCTGACTACCTATTGATATCTGTGGGCTACATCACCTACTAATGCTAATTTGCTGATAAACTGAACGCCATTTACTTCTATCCTTTTTTTTTTGTCATACTAACAAGAACATATACCATACTTATTGACGCTGAAATATACAGTTAGTTCTGTCCAATTGCACGATGAATATTTAAAAGTATCAAGGACCAACTCCTAGAAATATTCACATAACCTGCCTGTTTAGATTTTTAATTTAAGAGTTTCAAATTCCAATATGTCTTGTGATCTTATGTTGGTTTTGGGCTAATGGTATAATATTTTTTTTTTTTAAAATTTCGCATAACAAGTTAACATTGTAGCTTCTAGTTGCAGGTGTTGATAGCTCAACTCTCATATTTTTTTTGCAATATCATATAGGTTCTCTGATGATGGGTTTCATGGCTAGTTGATCAAGTAGTTATTCGATTTTGTGGGGCCTCTTAACTTATTTAGTGATTTATTATAAGACGGTGATATCACGTAACAATAATGATGTGTTGAGTACAGTTATATTGAATATTTACTTGTATCCTCTTCTTTCTTGTGAATAAAAACCATGAGAAGTTTCAAGTGCTTTCTCATGTGCTTCCATTTAGACTAAACAGTATGTGATAAGCATTGGCTTATGTTCAGCCATTGATTGCTGAGAATTGGTGCTTGACTTCTTAAATTTTGGTGAACCTTTTTGTTTTTTTAAGGCAGGTCATGTGTGAACAGACTGACGTATACCATGTTTTGGTTAGCTTAACGGGTTTGACCATTGATTTATTACTTCATGATAATGGGTTTGACCAATGATTTATTACCGAATACCCCTGAAGTTTGTGATAATTTTAGTAAGATCTCCTGATAGAATCAGTGACCTCCCGTATTTTAAGTTTTGTATAAAAGTGTCAAAATATGACACGGCTCGGTAACACGAGACGAATATAACTTAAAATTAGTCGGTTTAGATTTTTTTGAAGTTACCCATTTTGTAAACGAATGAACTTTATAGGATACGATTATTAAATGAATTGAGTTCTAGTGAAGTTAATCAAAAAAAATACATAACATAATTTATTTATATATCTGTTAAATGATTTATACAAGACGCAAATTTAATATAATACGATTCACTGTTAGACACAAATTAATAAATAAATCGAGTGTGAATGAAATATTTTTTGATACGAATCTATTAAAACACGGCACGAATTTGTATCACCTGACACCATTGGCGGGCACCCTTGGATTGTTGCGGTTTGTGGGATAGATTTTTGAGATGCATACTTTTAGGATCTAGATGTTCAATTTGATACATATGAGATTCACCATTTATTGGTGAATTTGTTTTGAGTTGAAAAGTATGAATTCCACTCCGCATGCACCTTCGCAATTGAAGTTGTAACATTCCAACAACACAAGGTGACTGTTTTTTGTATTCTGTTTTTTTTTTTTTTATGTGTTCAAGTTTGTGTCTATTATTCTTTCGAGTTATGTGACTAAATGTGGCGTTTTTGTTCGCTTCCTGATAAAACTAAAGATAAGAAAATCAATATTAATATGAATATTTATTACAAATAATGTGATTTAGTAATATAAATAGTAAATGATTTGAGTAAATAATAAACAAGAATAGTCCTTAATGACGGGTTAAGTTTGATTTCAAGCTATGTACTTCAATAAAAGGAAGGAAAAAATGAATTTTTATTTGAAATATTTTATGCCATATGACTGGTGCTTGATTTTTTTATATTACAAAGGAGAAATGCTAATCGTGTCGGATGAGATGGGCTCATGTCGAGTCTTAGTGGGTTTGTATTGAAAAATATTTCACTTATACATGATTCGTTTATTAATTCGAGTCTAATGAGTCGTGTCATATCAACTTCGTATTATGTATAAATCATGTATAACCGATATATAAATAAGCCGTGTCATATATTTTTTTCAATTAATTTCACTCATCTTAATTTGTTTATTAATTGTGTTGTATTAAGTCCACTCGTTTATGAAACAAGTGATTTAATGAAGATCAAAACTCTTTAATTTTGCATCGTGTCATATTTTGACACATCTATATACTACTAATAAAAGTACTTTAATATAAAAAACTTTTGAGTCTTTATTTTACTCTTATAAAAAATTACAAAGACCACTCTATCATTTGACAATTAAAAACATAAATTGTCATTATATCCTTATACATTTAAATCTCTAAATTATCTCTAACATTTCTTTTAATTATCTATTCTCTATATATAAATATCAGTTTCTATAAAAAACAAATTGATTGACTATATTACCCTTCAAAAAATGTGCATCATTTTATTTTCAATAAAGTGTTCAAAAATCTCATATGTAAATATAACGTTATACTTACATATGCGTAAATTCTTTTTCATCGAAAAGTTTAAACCTTTCATTTCTAAGATTAAAAATTATCATATATATAATTTTTTTAAATCAATTTTTGTTACATCAATATAATTCTTTAGTCGTAATAAATTTTCTAAGTTATATCAAGATATTATGTGAAAATAGATATTGTAATATATTTTTAAGTAAACATTGTATTTTTTAGAATTTTAATATTGTAAAACTTGAAATTTTTAGATTTTTTAGAGTAGTATATTAATTTTTATCTCAATTCACCTAACTAATTCCTAATTATAATAAAGTTTTAATATAATTAAAATATTAACAATTGTTTTTATTTTATTCAATAAATTATAAGTGGAATCTAAATAAAATAAATTTCAAAAAAAATAATTTCTCAAACATCACTAAAAAATCAATCTCAATTACAAAATTCTAAAAAAAAAAAAAATAGAATTTTAACATTTTTTAAAATTTATTTTCTTTTAGTTAGAACAAAGAATTTTGGGAACATAAAAAGTTTTTATAATCTTATATTAATAAAATATAAGCAATAAAAAATTAAGTTTTGTGAATTTGAGGTGATATTTAATTCAAATACACATATAACTAATATATTTTATTAATTTTTGTGTACAAAAATTATTCACGTGCAGTGCACGTGATGCATTGCTAATTGTTTTCAAGTGTGGGCTGTAGTTAGTCATTTAATAAGCAAACATTAATAACAAAAATAAGAATTAGAAAAAACTTTAAGGGTATAAAGTATAATTAACAATATTCTTCACATTCGGACAAAAATTTAATTGGTGTACAATTCCATTGGCGCATGTTAACCAGCTATCTTATCCCGTAACCCAAACAATAAGATTCAAATAAAGTCTCCCGTACGTTACGCATTGACGCCGGCCAACCATCCTTGCTCTCTCTCCCTCACAAAATCATCACGTTCACAGAGAAAGAAATCTCTCTCTCTCTCTCTCTCACACACACACACACACACACACACACACACACACACAGAGAAAATGGACGAAACAGAAACAGCAGGCGTTTGAAGTTCGAAGTTTGAACTTTCAACCCCTAAAACTACTCGTTTGAAGGTCAGTTCTTTCCTCTATTTCTCTTTGACTCTCTCTCTGCAAGCCCTAATTTTACACAAAGCTATAAATACACATCTGTATAACCTGTATATACGCACACACACACACATCTGTGTATTGGGCATACACCAATGGCGGCGAGTATACAAGATCCAGACAGGATTATGGAAGCAGCTAAACAGATCGTGAAGAGTCTCAACACATCCAATAAAGAGACGGAGGACATGATTTTAATTCTGTCCAGCTTTGACAACCGATTGTCGAAGATCACCGATATCATTTCCAATTCGGAAACGGATCATAGCAAAGTTGATAGTGGATTTGAGGCCGCTGAGAAGATTATTCATTGGTATGATACGAATAACGAGGCCTACGAGGCTGATGAATATTTGCCCGCCGTCGATGAAATTCTCCAACTGACTGAAGATTTATCGATCCAATCCGACGGAGAAATGATGGATCGAGCCGAAAATGCACTGCAATTGGCTATGTCGAGGCTGGAGGACGAGTTTCGCCACATTTTGACTAGAAGTACGGAGCCTTTGGATTCGGAGAGGCTGCACGGATCAATCCGTAGGGTTTCGTTGTCATTTGCTTCAAATGATGGGGAGATTGAGGATTTTGGGAGTTTTGGCGAGGGTGATCAGGTGAGTGAGTACTGTCATGACAGAGGTGGGAGTTTGGGGGATGATGTGTGTGTGGACTTGATTAGACCCGATGCTATGGAAGAGTTGAAGGAGATAGCAGATAGGATGATTCGGTCTGGGTATGAGAAAGAGTGTTGTCAGGTTTATAGTAGTGTTCACCGCAATGTTCTTGATGAGTGTCTGTCGAATCTTGGTGTTAAGAAGCTGAGCATTGAGGAGGTCCAGAGGATGGAGTGGAGGGCATTGGATGAAAAGATGAAGAGGTGGATTCAGGCTCTTAAGATCGTGGTTAGGTTTCTTTTGTCGGGCGAAAAGAGGCTTTGTGAGCAGATCTTCAGTGGGTCTGAGCTGATTCAGGAGGTTTGCTTTGTTGAGACTGTGAAAGGGTGTGTGATGCAGCTGTTGAATTTTGGTGAGGCTGTTGCGATAGGAAAGAGGTCACCGGAGAAGCTGTTTCGAATACTTGATATGTATGATGTGTTTGTGAATGTTTTTCCAGATTTGCAAGCATTTTTTGAGGATGAATCTGGTGAGTTAGTGTGCAGTGAGGCAAAGGGGGTGCTAAATTCACTGGGTGAAGCAGCAATTGGGACATTTGTGGCGTTTGAAAATGCTGTTCAGGGTGAGCAATCTAGGAAACCAATACAAGGTGGTGAGATTCACCCGCTGAGCCGGTATGTGATGAATTATCTGAAGTTACTGGTGGATTATAGTGACACTCTCAATACACTCTTGAACAATGGTGGGGAGGAATCTGACCTTTTGCAGAAAGATGATGGTGATAATTTGGAGTTAGAAAACATGTCTCCCATAGCAAACCGTTTGCTGTCACTGATTACAACTCTGGAATCAAACCTCGAGGAGAAGTCGAGAATGTATGAGGATGGTGCAATGCAATATGTATTCTTGATGAACAACATCCTTTACATAGTTCAGAAAGTAAAAGACTCTGAGCTTAGGAACCTTTTGGGAGATAATTGGATTCGTAAGCGTCGTGGTAAGATTCGCCAATATGCCACAAGCTATCTTAGAGCTTCGTGGAGCAAGGCATTGTCTTGTTTGAAGGATGAAGGGATTGGTGGGAGCACAAGTAATGCATCCAAGGTGGCTTTGAAAGAAAGGTTTAAGAATTTCAACGCATGTTTTGAAGAAATTTACAGGATTCAGACATCATGGAAGGTTCCGGATCCTCAACTTCGTGAAGAACTTCGAATATCCATATCAGAAAATGTAATTCCAGCCTACCGTGCATTTATGGGACGGTTTGGGAGTCAACTAGATAGTGGAAGAAATGCTGGGAAATACATAAAGTACACTCCTGAGGATTTAGAGAATTACTTGTTGGATCTATTTGAAGGAACACCTGTTGTTCTGCACCACATGAGAAGAAAAACTATGTAGAATGCAGGACTCATGTAACAGGTACTTCTCCTGCTCTTCTCAAAGTCTAGTTGGAACTGATCTCCTTCCAAATCAAGCTGTTATATTTGTTGGTTTTGATGTTTTCATCACAGGTTTTTGCGAAAGCTAGTCATACCCTCCACAGACTCTAATAGTTTTGTACATGTACTATATATCCTCTCTGTGTGAAACTTTTTGTAGTTTATGTATTTATTGTCATGAATCCCTTCAGAGCTGAACTAATAATGTAGCATAATTTTATCACATTTGAGTGGCTATTGGATAAATAAATTGTTTGGTTGGCATGTTGTGATGTTTACAGCTTCAGTTCCTTGTTGCAGTTCTCAATGGTTACTTGTTAAGCAGCTCAGAACACCTTCCTCTCCCAAATCCCCCAAAAAAAAAAAAAAAAGTGGATGAAGGAGGTTTTGTTTACTTTATCTGTTTGTAATAAAATGTCAAAACATAATTTCTTTGTTTTTTTTTGTTGGGGTGGTGTGTGGGGCAAGGACCAGTGTTATTTGTGACCCAATTTCTCCGAACATATCAATCTAGTGGTTATTTCTTGGATACACTTACACTTATAATGAATGCTGTATTTTATGTGTTTGTGTTTCTCGCTAATGGGTATAGTATGCCTATAGGAATTTATTTATAAACTCTTTTTTTGGTAAGTTATGATTCCTCTGGAGTAGTGGATTGTCTGTTTATTGGTATGCATATTGATGTTTTGGGGTCTTTTAGGTCTCTCTGCATCAAAATGGGTAGTCCTGCGATGATAAGGGATTTGTTCCTTTTAGGTGTTTATGTGCAGTATTTTGTGTCTGTTCCTCCGACATACTTCAGGATTGTCTTACGTAGGGTTAAGCACTCTCCACAGCTGTTTCTTAGGGTTCTAAGGAGTTGACCTCATTGCACCTGCAAATTCCTTTATTGTTGTGTTTCATGCAGGGATCAGCGCTTTGTTGTCCAGGCAGGTCGGGAAAGTATCAGATTTTAGATATTTTTAATAGATTTAATGAATCTCCAAGACTTTGTTCTTTGTAATGGTTGTTCACTGTTATTAATATTTCAACTAGGGTTCCTATGTTGTTCTGAAAGAGGTTGAGGCAGATAGAAAAGATATGATGGATGTTGATGTAGTGCAGGTTACTGGATGGGATAGATTTGCAAGGAACATCCTCTTAAACCAAATTGGAACATAAGGTTCAATTATCTATTCTGATTTTTCTCCCTTCCCCCTTTGTGGTTTTGTCTTATCAAATTGGGACATTGAATACCATCGTGGCTCTTCATTTCTTCTTGGGGCATCAAATGCTGACGTTTGTTGAAGTGGTAGTAAACTTTCTACATGCCTTTCACCTTCAAAAAAGCTGCGAGGAAAGAGATTTCCGGGGATAGAGAATAACGAGTTTCTCTATAATCTTTTGCCTTCTAGATGTCTGTAGCTGCAGTTCTATGGTCTTTCTGAGCTTTGATCCAATGGCCTCTTAAGAATTTTATGTGTCAAAACCATAACCTCTAGCCTGGAACAAGTAGTCTTTACCGGGCTTAGGGTAACAATTATTCCACGGGTGATTTTCTGCAATGAGTTGAGATAATAATCCACTCTATGGTAAACCTAAAACAATCACAGGGCTAGGAAAGGGGCTGGGTTAACACCCAGCTAATCCCCTCCAAAGTCCAAGTCAGTCGGCGTTGGAAATATTAGCACAATATATTTTTTGAATTTAGTTTGTGTACCTTTGTTCAATTTTCTGAAGGATATTTATACCTGAATTAGCAATGACTGAAGGATTTTTGAGTCTCATCTCGGCATTTAATGGATTACACTCTTATCCAGGCGTAATGAGTGCAATATCATCAAATCTCCTCAAGACCAATCCCCTCGTGCGAATGAATCCGTGCTCGGGATCCTTTGAGCAATTATTGCCTATATTCTGATCATTAAGTACCTGTACTTGGTGCTTAACATCTACGCCCAAGCATTTATTGCTTGGGAATAAGCATGTCTGTCGAGAACATTGGGTCGATGTCATGTCATGACAATTAATATTTCATAATGATAATTGTTTTCACGGGTTTCAAGGACACAGAGGCTCATTAATGAGCCTGTTTCAATCACTCAAGTGCTCATTAATTAACTCTCATATCTCCTTAAATGTTGGGCTCATCAGTGTGTACTCGGATTTTCTGGGCCATAACGACTCGACTCCTTCTCCTAGTGTCATTTACGATTCATAATGGCTATAACTGTCTACATGTTAACTTAAAGATGCTGAACCGTCTAAAGTCCAATCAATTATAATTAAGTTTTGGAATTGATTTTGTCACACTTCTGTGTTATCTCTGCAAATAGTGAATGCATTGTGAATTTTTTGGGCTGAGCGTGTATAGGTGGTCTGTGCATCCTTTAGTGTTTCCTTGTGACGGGTGTTACTTTGTATGTCTTTGAGACTTTTGAGGGCTCTTCTTGGACAGAGTGTGTTTGTGTATATTTTTTTTTTCTTTTTTAACCCGGGCTAGCGATGCATGGAGCATCGCCCAGTTTGTGTGTATATCTGTGGTTATTGAGTGAAAAGTCTTCAATTAGTAGTCCGCATTTTATTTGCCACTTGTCAAGTCTACGAAGCTAGGCTCGGGTAGTTGGCCTGTCGTATCTCTTTTCAGTTGCTTGCTTCTTCTAGTTCAGAAGGGCGGCCGCCTTTCACTTGAAGACGCCTAATGCCTATTATCTAGTATTAGATGCTTGTCGTCAGAAGTTCACCCTTCTAGTATTGCTTCGAGCGCAAGAGGCTAAGCATTCTGCCAGATGTCTCGGTTTTGGGATCTCATCTTTGCCTTTAGTACACTTCAGTAGACCTTGTGAAAGTAATAGTGTGTTTTGTCGTAAAAGAAAGGTCTGGTATCTGCTTCAAAGCATGCAAAATTGAAACCTGTGGGCTATGTACTGTTCATTGCTAAGGTGCATGACAGGTTTGATATGTCCGGTTACTTTTACGATATTTGTAAGTCTTTTTATCGCTGTTTTGATATCCAAAATATGATAAAAATAATTACTACAAATGTGATAAAAATATTTATGACAGTGGTAAAATTACTCATAGAAGTGATAAATCACCCATAAAAGTGATAAATTTTTTTGCTGTAAAACAACTCATAAAAATTGTAAAAATCCATTAAAGTGATAAAAATTGAAGATACGGTATCAAAATTATTTCTTCGGTACCATAGTCAAATCTTTGATATAATATTTTGCAATAATGATATGTAGACCACCTCATTTATATCATCCGATGTTATATGATCTCAACCATTATCACCTCATTTATATCATCCGATGTAATATGATTTCAATCATTAAGTATTCAATGAACTCAATACGCTCTATTACTCTAATGGGTTATATAGAGGTGATGGAGAAAGGTAGTGTATGTAGCATTGATGGTTATTTTGACACTTTGATATTTAATATTTTATTTTGGTTATTTGATATTTAATATTTTCAATTGGTGTTTAATTAATTTAATTTTTAACTTCTATTGAAATTAATAACAGATAAGGACGAAATTATAGACATGGGCTGTCATAATGTTGGAGCCCAATAAACCCAGAAGAACCTTGCATGTTTAATAGCCCAAAGAAAGATCCACCAGTTAGCCCACATCGAAGAGCAGAAAGAGACAAAAGGCAAAGCAATAGAGGATCAGCGGTCCAGCCCAGGCCCAGTTCGATACTAGTTAAAGAACAGTCTGGGAAAGAAACGCCAAATCTTTGTCCTGCAAGCATTCCGTCATGCCACATGTCTAAAGGACAAGGGGACCATCTCTGATGCCTATGACAGTTACACCCTCCTGGACACAGAGAGTGGCAATGCGTGTAACGGTCCAGAGATCATGGGCACAGTAGCGCCGAATAGCAGAAACTGTTGCAAAACAGTGACAGAAGGTCCTGCAGAATCAGCAAAAAGGTTAAAAGAACTACTGGGAACCCTAGGAGGGACGACTCATATAAATAGAACAGTGTTATCTTACCAGAGGATGAATGAATTATCTTCCCCACTACACTCCCCAGCTTGAAAGTTATAGCAAGCAAAACATAAATCCTTGTAAAGGCCTAGCGCCAATAATTTCACTATATTCATCAGGAGTCAATATACAACCTTAAGGAGCAGGGAGCTCCGTTACAGTAGACGTAGCACTAGTCCTTCGGCTAAGGCGAGCCACTCACGTTCTTTGTATTTCGTTTCTCATAGATTAACCTCTCACTCAATCACACTCACAAAACTCACCAACATCTCATTGACTGGGCTTGGGCCGTTATTTCCGAGCACCATCAGTTGGCACCGTCTGTGGGAACGGTTTTCATTGTTTTCCTTTTGAGTTTTTATTCGTTTGATGGTTTCAACTCAGAACATGAATAAAACTCACGTCAACCCCCAAGTTCACCAAAGCTTACTGGAGAACTTCCTGTCCCCTAAAGTGGACGTCGAGAATCACTTCCCCGCGGTGAACCTTCCCCCACTCAATGAACTAGAAGCCTACCAACGCACCACGAGACAATTGATAAAGTAGAACCAGGAGCTGATGGCTTGGATACAAGCACACTAGCTCCCTTGGTTCCCGCCAGCACGTTAGGAGCCTCCCCTCGCCTCCAATGGAGCACGAGGCTCCTCCTCAAGAACGCCAAGCTCTGCCTAACGGAGTCACAAAACTCCATGAGCACAGCCACTCTATGAAAAATTACCAGAGGAAACTCCCCAAAGAGCACGACAAAGATAAGGCCCACAGTCGAGCCAGGGTCGTCTACCGAGAAGACAAACCCCACTCTTCGCTGGATGCCATGGACCACTTATTGGAGAAAAAACTTCGCGAGCTCTAGCGAGAAATGGGCAACATGAAAGAAGTGGTTAAGGGGAAGGCCCCTGACACCATGGATGCCCTGGTTCAACAAACTGAGTCGTCATTCACTCTCGAGGTCCTCCATTTTTCTCTCCCCCAGAAATTTCGCATGCTATCAATAGAGGTGTTCGACCGGACCAGAGATCCATTTGACCATTTAAACTCCTATAAGAACCATATGGAGATTCAGGGTTACCCAAACCCAATACATTGTCGTGTTTTCCCCATCACCCTCAAGGAGTCGGCAATAGCTTGGTTCAATAGGCTATAACTAGCATCAATCTCTTCTTTTCGAGAGCTATCCATACAATTCGTATCATATTTTATCAAAGCAAGGACGTATAGGAAGTCGTCCTACCATCTTTCGAGTGTCAAACAAGGACCAAATGAGTCCCTTCGAAGCTATGTACAACGCTTCAACCAAGAGTGCTTGAAGGTAGAGAGTGTGGATGACAAGTTCGCACTAACCACTTTCATGTCTGGACTCAGGATACATTCCAAAGACCTCCTCTTCTCAATGGCGAAAAATCCTTAAGCTACCATAGCCGAGGTACTGGCTAAAGCCAAAAAATACATCAACGACAAAGAAGCCCTCTGTCTGAAAGGAGGCTCAACATCGGTGGAAGGAGACAAAAAAAGAGGGACCATAGTCCCAAGAAGGAGAGAAACTGCAAGCAATTCCCAAGAAAGGACTGTTCCCCAAGAAGAGGAAGATATTCCTCTCCTAAAAGGATAGGCAACGTCTGAGACCGCCTGGGGCCCCCTCCACAAGAGCTACAACCCCGATTTGCACCGGTGCAGCTTCTGCCTCTGGTCACCTCCATTGCTCAGGTCCTCCACGAGGTCCAAAACGAGAGGTTCATTCGATGGCCACCTCGAATGAAGTCTGAGCCCAGGAAAAGAGACGCCTTCAAATACTGTGAATATCACAAGGACACGGGCCATGAAACACCGACTGTATTAAGCTCAAAAAGGAGATCGAGTACCCAATCCAGAGAGGACACCTCTGCCACTACGTGGCAGGTGAGGAACAAGCTCAGGGCAACCAAGGGCGGGAAGCCCTTGCACTTCCTCAGCACCATCAACAAGCTCTTGATGAAATTCGGGTCATCTCTCGAGGTTTCGCAGGAAGGGGTGAGTCCAGCTCAGCGCGGAAGGCACACGTTAGGAAAGCCAGGTCGGAAGATTTCCTCGAAGTCTAGGCCATCCGTAAGGCACCCCGCCGCGAGGTGGAGATCACCTTTTCTGATGCGGACCTCGAAGGATGTCAACACCTGCATGATGACCCCCTGGTCATAAAGGCGATCATCGTAAACAAAACTGTACATCGGGTGCTCGTCGACAATGGGAGCTCAGCAGACATCATCTTCTTATCAGCCTTTGAGAAGCTTGGCATAGAGAGATCTAGACTTGAACCCGTAAAAAACTACCTCCTTGGCTTCTCGGGTGAAAGAATCTTGCCAGTCGGCTCTATTCAACTCGTCCTCACCATAGGAGACCAACCTTGTTAGGTTAAAACCACTATCCGTTTCCTAGTGGTGGATGTTCTCTCTGCATACAACGTTTTATTGGGAAGACCATCTCTCAATTCCATCAAGGTGATACCCTCCACGTATCATTTGGTGATGAAGTTCCCCACTGAGAACGGGGTTGACACGGTCAGAGGAGACCAACGCCTTGCCAGAGAATGTTATGTGGTGTCAATGAGGTAGAAGGAGATAGAGTCAGTTCAATTGGAAGACTTAGACATGTGGGACGAGCTGGAAACTAGACCTACTCCCACAGAGTAGCTAGAGCCCGTATAGATGGACGAAGACCCAGGACACGTGGTCTTTGTCGGCTCCACGCTTCTCCCACTTATTAAGGAAAGACTCATCTCGTTCTTGAAGGAAAACGTCGACATTTTCGCCTGGAAACAAGAGGATATGGAAGGAATAGATCCCGCAATAATTGTGCACAGGCTTAGTGTCAATCCGAACTGTAAGCCAATACGACAAAAGAGGAGGAGTTTCGCGCCAAATAGACTGAAAGCCATTAATGAGGAGCTGGCAAAGCTATTACGAGCCAAAGCCGTAAGGGAGGTAGATTATCCAACCTGACTAGCTAGCGTTGTGCTCCTAAAAAAAGTAAACGACAAATGGTGACTTTGCATCAACTTCACGGATTTGAACCGAGCATACCCCAAGGACAGTTTCCCATTGCCCCGGATCGAGCTGATAGTCGACACTACGACTGGCCATGAGCTCCTCAGCTTCATGGACACTTTCTCAGGGTATAACCATATCAGAATGAACCCGAGTGACCAAGAGAAAACTTCATTCATAACGGAACAGGGGATCTTTTACTATCAGGTTATGTCTTTTAGACTGAAGAATGCCGAGGGCTACAAATTCGTTGAACGGACTTAGGACATTCACATTATCTTTTTCTAACTGCCGTAGTCAATTCTCAAACTTTTCTTCGATCACTTCTGCCAATTGACAAGCCAAGAGAGCGAATGCTCTTGACCCAATGTCCATATTGGTTTGAGGAGTATGCCCCATTGACTGAACAGAAACGTTCCTGTTGTCACTCGCGTGATCCCTCCCCCCATCATGATGAGGTGCTTGTAACTCGAGACTTCTTTGCTGGGGATCTTTCCCTTTCTGTCGAGTATTCACCATGGTCACTGTTCTTTCTAGAAAAGAAACTAGAAAAACTAGTCGTTTCCCATAGACGGCGCCAGATTGTGCGTGCACGATCTTGCAGAATATAAACACAAAAATAGATCTCTTCCGTGGTGAACACGAGTTCGTCAATCAAGTGGTCAATCTTGCTACTTGGAACAGGTTGTTAGGGCCGGAGGTGGCCTGAGAAATGGTAATGAGTAGTTTTTGTGGGTCACCAGATTGGTCCTATGAGGCTAAGAGAGGTTCCTGGAACAGAGAAAAACATGTTAGAAGGGTGCCGGAGTATTTTTTGGCGTATCCCCTCCGACGAACAAGTCAGTTCCTTGAGAGAGGAGAAGAAGAAAACACTGTATGATATTTGAGAAAGGGTTTTTTGCGTACCTCTTTAATGTGTTTGTGAGGACTATTTATATCTTTAAAAAACTCATCATTGCTGACAGCGTAACTAGTAGGTAATTATTGGAGGTGGGCAGTGTGCACACTAATTTCTATGAGTAATGTTCTCATTCTTAACTGCTCGAGACCCCAAACAACTAATGCTTTCTTCTTGGTTTGCCGAATGTTTAATGACCTTCTCTTGGCGGGGGTGTATGAAATGCCCAGGCATTGAAACATTTATTATCTTTCACTTCCAGGCTCTCATGCATTAAATGCTGTCTCATTAAAGGAAGAGTGCATTAAATGCTTGCTTTCCCAAGTCATGTGTCAGCGAGGACATTCCAGTCTTTTTGTCTTTGATCTGACATAATATGTCACGTGCTCATCCTCTCTGGTTGAACTTTCTGCTTTCTTGTGTCTCCTGACACCATTTGAGTAAGACGAGGTCATGATGGCTATTCTAGCCTAGTCTAGGCTAATGGTCTGTCTATCAATAGCCCCTGCAGGAGCAGAAATGTCCATGTGGACAGACACACATCGGTGCTGAAGGACTAGAATAATTAGGACCGATATACCCAAACTACCGAGGAATACGTGTCGGGGATCCTTGGTCCCTGTGAATAGTATCCTCGGGACAGGGGTTGTAAATCGACGAAGACGTGTTGGAATCATAGGCGGAGAGTCTCCATTGACGCCGAGTACACGTGTCGTCATCTGCGAGTGTCTAGAAATGTCCCATCAATATCTTTTATTTTTTTTTTCTATTTACAAACTAGCACTGTGTGCACACAACCCCTGAATAACAGATATATTTAGTTATAACCTCTGTTAGTTCTATCCTTGGCCATGCGACTAATACCATGAGAAGTTTATCCGGACTTGTGTGGTTTTAGCACATTCAGATGAAATGTAAAAGGGATCAACACGATAAAGAAATCGGATTGCTTACCTGGTATAGCACTTTGGCCCGAGCGTGGTGTATTGAAACAATGTTACAGTCCAGGTTCTAACCACAACACTCAATGAACTAGCTGGTATAGTTTACTGGGTTTGAAAGACCAGAGAGCAATTCACAATTTCCACACATTCTACTGCTCTTATTAACAAGATTTCTTCTGATGCAAATAAGAATCAGCAAAAAACTTTGTTGTTTTGGAGAATGGAAACTTTGACTGTTGCAGCTTTCTACATTTTACATCTCTTGGTGAAATCATCCTTGATCGCCTCAAGGAACTGTATCGAAACTTGTTAGATAGAAGCATAGCTACAATGACACTGAAAGCTGCAGCAAAAAGATGAACATAGTTATACCTAGAAGACAAAGAAACATTAGCCTAAGAATAATACATTTGACACTATACGAAGGATTGATATCGAGTATTTAGAGTGTGTTTTGGATGGCTTACGAAATCCAAAAAATAATTTTTTAATAAATATTTATCAAAAGTGTTTATAAGAAAAACATTTTTATTAAATAAGGATTGTTTGGATATTCAAAATTTAAAATACTTAAATTAATGTATTTTATAAAAAACACGTTTGGATGTGAAAACACTTATTTGTGTCACAATTGTTAATAGCATTGAATGCACATATACAAACATACACTACACATATAATGATACACAAAAAATATATATATATATATATCATACACAAAAATATTATATTAATAAAAGTATCATACGAAAAAATTACATAGTCCAACTATTTCAATGACATACTAAAGTCGCAAAACACATGTTAATGGTAAATACAATCAAAAATCATGCTTGATTGTTACTTAGAATTGTTGAAGCAATACGTTCTTTCTTCCTATACATTGGATTTGTATCTGACAAATCAGTATGCTCTTCAAAAGCAGTTTGATTTACATTGTCTTCCTACTCTAACTCCACGTCTTTATTAGCATACCTTACAAATAATACATCTCTGATGCCATGAAGCTTTATGTAATTGTGACAAGTCATGCAAGCAACAACAATAAACATTTGTTTAGTGAAATCAAAACATCCCTTCAGTTTCACTAAATTAAATGGCCAATCATTCATTGAACATGATTTTTTATTTATTTTTTGTAGTATTCAGTAATAATAAACAAAATAAAAGAAAGAGACAGGAAACCAACAATCCAATTATTGACAGAAGAAAAGCAACAAGAAGTGAGCCATAGAAAAAAGTTTACAGGAAAGATAAAAAATTGTAGGAATGCCTCAGTGGTAGGCCAGTTGAAAGACTTCCCCACAGCATCTTGAACTTCATGTTTGGAAGCATTAAAAGAATTTAACAAATGCTTAAAGTTCCCATCAGTTGTTTCTTTTTCATGACTGGGCAATCAGTGCTTTCCTCACTTTTAAAGAAAGCTCTTCCCCTCTTTGCCTTCACATTCACAAAGCTCACATAACCATAACAGAGAGAGAGAGAGAGAGACTTGAAATGGCTGCAAGTCTTCATTCATCTGATCCTGCAGAAGAAGGCTACATCGACATAGAAGTCAGCTCACATTCGAACTTGTTCTGCCACTTACAAAGTTCTCCTCCATTCCCCCTAGAATTTGAGTTCCAAATGTTTTCAAGCTCCGCAGAGAGAGACACCACCACCTCACCAGCTGATGAACTCTTTTACAAAGGAAAGCTCCTCCCCCTTCACCTCCCTCCTCGTTTGCAGATTGTTGAAAATTTCCTACAGCACCCCAACTCTTATGACTACAAACCAGACACCCCCGACGAAAATTTTTTAGCACTCCTTTAACCACAAACACTATCACCACTCCTACTACACTTACCCCATTTGATTCCTGTAATATATCACTCTCAGAATCTTGCCAGGTTAGCAGAGAACTGAATCTAGATGAGTATTTCTTTGAGTATTCAACAGTATCAAGCGGTTCCATTGGCAAAAACCCGAAAGGGTCCTGGACCAGGAAGCTTAATCAATCTCACTCAATTCTGTATCAGTCGTACCAAATAAAATTCATTTACTCAACAAAGCCAACAATAAGTACTTCAACGAGAGCACGAGAGCAAGTATTACGTGAGTAGAGTACACGAAGGCAAAGTCGTTGCAGCACAGGCTAGACGATGATATTAGATGCAGGATATGTGCAGTCAATGGTTCAAAATTATGAAGGTATATAAAAGGAGAAGAAAAATAAAGCACACCTGAATTCTTTGGAACGATGATTAGAATAAATTCAATAAAATACCTAGTTACCAATTGCAATCATATGGTTTTGCAGTACAATATCAATCAATGATCACAACTAGTTGAAAGGCTGACCACAAATCAGTCTGGCCCTTGAATTAGCTATGCATAAGAAGACCAGAAAGCATTTGAACAGAACAGACTCCTTCAAAACCTGGAATGTCCACCAAGCATATTCCAAAGTCAGGTAGTATCACAAGGCCATTGCCTCGCAAAACCTTCTACCCAGATTCTTATTGCTAAAATCAACTCCCACAATAATCATGGATCAAATAAAAACATTTTCCCTAAAATCTTTCAAAGATCTCCACAACTTTCATCATAAAAAAAAATTCACAAACCAAAATATACTAACCCACAACAAATCACAAACAAATAGCAGCAAAAGATGCCATAAAATTAGTTAATAGGAGGATGTTGTACCTGTTAACCCATAACATATCACAAACAGCCACACATGATGGAAATTGCTTACTGTTGGCCTGAGAAAAGCAGGTCAAACATGATGTTTCTAGGTACTGTGCTTTTGTTCAACTGATAGTGAGATAGATTGTTCAAGTTCAGTGGTATCGACCATTGACTCAGTGAGACGCATCGAGCTTGTCTTCATGGAACAATATCGATTGTTATGTGTGAGATGGTAACTAGAAAAAGTTAAACATGACTAGAGGTTCTTGCCATATTGCAACATTAAATAGGGGTATTGACTGATTTAATAACGCCGAGTTTATTCAGAAACATTTATATAAATTGGCCTACTCACACGAGTCTCATGTTTACACGAAACATATAACAATATCGAATTAAAAAAGATGGATATCACTCCACCTAATCATATCAAGATTGATGAATGGATACTTTAACAATGGAGAGAGAGAGAGAGTTGCAGGGTATGGGAGAGTGCCACAGTTAATGCAGTCAGTGTGGCTTAGTTTCTGTTGCTACTTTTCATAGCCAAGCACAGAGGTGACTAGCGAGAGTCACACACACTGACCATACCCCAGTACTTCCAGACTATTCTCCGCTGCTTTACACGACTAGAAAACTAACAGCCCCAAGTATAAGAAAAAATCCATACCACATGTAAGTCATTTTATCAAACAGTTGGTGGGCATTCTATCAAACTGTCCAGTTTTGCTAAAAATTAAATGTGAGAATGAGCCATGAATTATGGAAGTAAAATAATATAGTGATTTTCATAGTAATCATGGATCAAAAAAATAAAACACAGTTTCCCAAAATTTTTTCTAGGATCTCTAGAAATTTCAGTATCAAAAAAAAATCACAAACCAAAATACATCAACCCACAACAAATTATAAACAAATTTCATCATCAAACACTACTTTTTTTAAAAAAGTATTTTTCATAAGTTAAAAGTTCCAAAAACACTTTTTTTTAAGTCATGCCAAACACACTCTTAGTCTCGGGTAATGTAGAGGCATCAGAAGTCCAACTTCAAGAAATGGGAATAGAGAGCTATAAAATAGAACTCTGGTCTGGCCATCTGCTGGAATTCAATCAAACATATTGCAAACGTATGAGACTTACAAAACATTACATTTCAAACTATGTAATATTAACCCAAAGAGAGTAAACAAAAAAGTCATATTTAGACAATTGTGACATTAGGAATGCAAGGTCTTATTCTTTAATAGGTCATGCTTCACTTATGTGCATATATATATAGGAGTGAGGTTCTGGGAATTTTAGAACAATAAATAAGACAAACCTCAACAACTATAATGTAGAACCCAGAAATAACCGACTTGGTACAGAATGTTCACATCATAAACTTCAAATACTTGCAATCACGTGCACACATAAACACACGCACGCGTGCACACACACACCCCACACGTGTCTTGTTTGCAATGAAATAGAATGTGAAAATTGCATAACTCAGCTGCAATATATCCAGAGACTTCCAGTAACTCTGCTGGTATTCTGGTTAAGCTTTTCCCTTATACCTATCAGTAACTCGGCTGGTATCCTGGTTCCATTTGCAATTTTTTTCCTAGAATCGTCTATGAACGCTTGATAACAAAATAATGGTCCTGCTATTTACAACAAAAAATTATGTTGCAAAATAAAATAAAAAATTGTAAAGATATCAAGGCAAACCTGAAATAAATGCCCAAAAAAAAAAAAACCCAGATAAACATAAATATTGCAAACATTACGGACAAAAACCTAAAAGGGCAAAAAGCATTGGCTCATGATGCACAAAGGGTAACACAAATGCACGTGATTCTAAAATTAATCTACTTTCTCAGATGCACAGAGCTTATTCTGTAGCATTTTCCAGCAACACTTCTCTAGCTTTACAAATAAAAAAGGCGGGTTCTAGCACAGGCAAATAGCATAGCATACAAGAACAGAAAAAAAACATCATCTTCACTCACAGTCCTGTCGTGTTACCTTCCTCATAAAGTGGTCCACCAACAACTATGGTGATCTTGATCTGCAGCTGTACTGCACCAAAATGCAGTGTAATGCGCAGTTCTTGTAATTCAAATACACTTCGTACCTCACAAAGTAGACATATATTTGGTCATCCAAGAGGACTTGGTGGCAATTTTACTAAATTCAAAACATACAAAAAGTATATAACAATAACCCATGAGGGTTGGTTCACTGGTCGAAAAGGAGCAAGATGTAAGCCGACACATCCTGAGTTCTAGTCTCCCTAATTGCATAAAACCTGGGCTTAACTGATGTGCAAATAAAAGAAAAAAAAAAGAAGTTAAATGAACAATATAAAGGTTAGAAGCATAAGAGAACGTCATACTGCTTACAACAGAAACGGGGAAAGGTAATCTGCGATGAAACAGAAGTAAGCGTCTATGCTCATAGAACAATTATAGAAAATAAATCAGCTTCGTTTTTAAAACATTCTCGAGTACAGTGGAGAATTACAGAGCAATTGACCATGTGGCCAAAGTTTAGGGTAATGTGTCTGTGTCAAGTGGCTTACTGAATTCAATTTCACCCACTTGGCAATTTACTGTGGTCTGCTACATGAGCATGATCAAGTTGCTGCCCCAACCATTCCTTGTGTCGATTGGAGAAAGTCATTCTATTACAAAACTAATGAACTAAACAAAGAGAATTAGAATCTACCCCTCCCCTCCCCTCCCCCAAAAAAAAAATAAAAATAAAAAATTGCTCCTACTCGTAAGTTGTCAACCCATGTAAATCCAATGATTTTCACAATTGGAAAATGATACAATGACCGGCAAATTCCAATAATAATACGTGAAATGGAAAGAGCATGCATAAATCTCTATTCTCCAAGAGATACGAAAAAAGAAGCCTATATGTATCACAAGTGAAATGCAGTAAAGAATTTCTAAATAGAACAGTGCTTTTCTTTCTAGAAGTGATGACTCCTGATACATGATATGAATCCACAAGGCTCTTACAAACCCTAGGGAATTCGACATTTGGAATGTATCATGTGAAAACACAAAAATAGTAAGTACTATATAAGCTGACTTGTCAATAGTCAGTGGTCCTTTCCTCAAATCTTCCCCTAAACATGTATAATGCGATTTCCTATTGTTCTTTGGTGGTGCTTCTCTTTATAAATAGCATAAAATGAAAGGAAGGAAAATTTTTCTAGACTCAGCATTTAGAACAATTAACATGTTACAACATATGCATTCTGGAAGTTAATCGGAAAAATATTGCTGCTTCTCTGGTAATTATGGCATGTTAAACAAAGAACCACCATTCTTTCTCTAAACATCAAGTCCAACTCTAAATATGCATTTTGATAGTTCTAGAAAGCAACTTCTAGTTTTTATTGTGGGAATCTTAAATGCATACAATTTATCATATACCACTAATTGTTATCTAAAATGGAAAAATAAACGAGGATTCAATTTATGAAAGATAACATCTAAAATCTATACGAGCATGCTACAAATAGAAGTTCAAATAGAATAGTATTTTAAAATTCTTAAAGAGGATGTAGATTTGTTACCTATTCCTGATAGCCTCTATATCCCAGCAGTTTTTTTCCCTTTTTTGTCTCCTTCCCCAGCACGAATAAAAAAATAACAGTAATAACTTTTTATAAAACAACCGACAGGGAAGGCTGGTTTATTACTTGACATATATGTAGTCTTAGTTTGCACATTGAAGATGGATGACAAGTTATTTGGACAGATTTGCACTTTCAAAATTAGAAATGGTAGATGAAAGCAAACCAATACTGATTATTTGTTAAATGTTAAGGGAAAAGGAGTGGATTCATGGAGCAAGGGTCATATCCATTGGATCCATTAGAGGCTACTCATGCTTGGGTGCCAACCAACAAATGATGTACATTTAATGGCTGAAAAGGATTCATTTAGGCTTGCAGGGTGCAAGGAACCTGGTGGTTGGCTTGAGGTAGGGCTGTCAAAATCCGATACGACACAATTAACCAACACGAATTAAGCGGGTTTGAGTGATAAATGGATTGACACGTCAAACACGTTTAATAAATGGATCGTGTTCGGGTGAGACCTGTCAAACCATTTATCACATGTTTACCCATTTAAATAAAATTAATATAATAATAAATTAATAATTATTTTAAAAAATTAGCAAGAAAAAAAAAATAAAGAAATCAATAAAAAAAAAAGAAAGTAAGTAAAGTAGTAGTTCAAAGACAAAAAAGAGGAGATGGGGAGCACTTTAAAGACAAAGGCAAACCAATGTCTTTTGTTTTTGTCCCACATTGAAAAATGAGGGGAGATGGGGAAAGTTGAGTTGGCAATGACCTCTTGCCTTTTTTTTTTAAACCTTCAAGTCTTATTTTCATGGGAATTGGCTAAAAATTTCTCTTTTTTGAGATAAGTACAATTGACAGTAAAAAAAAGTGGAGTATTAAGATTTGTTGATATAATTTTTTTTAAATTAAACGGGTTAAACGAGTCATGTCGTGTTATTCATCTATTAAACGGGTCGTGTTTGTGTTGAGATTTTTTACCCGTTTATTAAACATATTTTTCACTCGTTACTCAAACGTAACCGTTTAACTCGACACATTTGACACCCCTAGCATGAGGTGTAGGGGTGCATGGGAAATGTTATAAATCGGAATAGGATTCCATTGTATCAGACAGTGTAGAAACATAAGTAAGCCCTTTCAATTTTTATGCCAACCTAAAGCACTGAAGATAGATTCATAATGACACTTGAGCAAAGTTCATCCTCGAATGGGGGTCAAAAATCATCAGTGGCAACTTCAATGTGAACAAACAAATATAAGGTTCAAAGCACGAAGTACGAACACTCCAAGTTAGAATACAAAAAAATATAGATTCCATTAATCATCATGAAAACAACAATTACAACGTATACGTCATTTATTATACCATTGATTATATCAAAAAAAACAAAAGCAAAACAATTTCTACTGCCATCTCTGGTCATATATTAAATAAAATTAACATCACCAGTAATCACCACAAGAACAACTCCCATTTTTGAAACGGTGGAATCTACTGCCATCTCTTACAACAATTTCTCGACCTGTAACCATTGCTATTAACTTGATCGCATTGTGGCAGTCACTGCAAAGCCGGTGATTCTGCACAAGATGCAATGGTGTTGAATTGGAAGTGTTGATCAGCCCAAAAGAAATTGCCAATTTTTCACTGTGATACAATAACATTCGCTCTTCCCGTGCATCCACATCAGGAAGCAAAGATTTTCCCTCAGGAACATAACCACGTTTTGAAATCTCCTGCATCAGTTTGTCTAATTTCTCATAAATCTCTTTGGTTTGGATGTGGCACTTATCTCCAGAGAGGAACACATGTTGCTGCTTCTTAATTTCTATCCAAGTGCATGCAGGCAACATCCTCAAACCCTTCCTTTTCAAAGTTTGGACGACGGCAGCAGCTTCCTGTAACTTTCCAGAACTGTTGTATATATTCAAAAGCATAACATAATTACTAAGCTTTTCTGGTTCCATCCCATAAATATTCTCGGCTGCAAATTTTCCAAGCACCAAATTCTTGTTGATCCTACAAGCTGTAAGCAAGGCAGCCCACATATTCACTGTGGGCCTAAATGGAGCATCTCTTATTAATGCAAAAGCTTCATCCAAAAGCCCTTCCCGACCTAATAATTCAATCATACACGCATAGTGCATTGCACGGGGCTTGACCTTGTGATCCCTATTCATTGATTCAAATATGTCCCACCCATGATCTGATAAACCAGAATAGCTACAAGCAGATAAAACAGCAAGAAAAGTAACATGATTGGGTACCATTCCTTGAAGAACCATTCGCTCAAATAACTCAACCGCCTCAATTCCCCTACCATGATTACCGTATCCAGCAATTAAGGCATTCCAAGATATGACATTCTTGTTAGGCATCCGCTCAAAAACATTCCGTGCATCTTCAATCCTTCCCCATTTGCTATAGAAGTCCACAAGTGCTGTATTAGCTACTATATCTAACCCAAAACCATAACGAACAAGCCCTGCATGAGCTTGTTTGGCATGTTCTAGTGAAGCTAACCTCGTACACACTCTTATAATTATTGAGAATGTGAAATGGTCCATTTTGACGCCAGAATCTTGCATTTCATAGTACAAACTCAAAGCTTCCTCACTATAACCATGAAGTGCATACCCTGCGATAATAGAATTCCATCCTACAGTAGTTTTCTTCGGCATCTCATAAAAAACACAATGAGCATCCTCAATGCTCCCACACTTGCTATACATGTCAATCAGCGCACAAGATACAAAAATATCTCTATCTACACCCATCTTCAAAGCACATGAATGCAATTGTCTTCCGGGAAAAATAATTTCCAAACCAGCAGACGCTCGAATCATTGTAGCAAATGTGCGAGGCCCTGCATCAGAAAATTCATTCCACATCTCTAGAAACAACCGAAATGCTGCTGTGTAGTTCCAGATTCTACGAGCCCCCCAATGATTGTATTCCAAGAAACCAAATTCCTTTCAGGCATATCATCAAATAATTTATGTGCATCAATCATCATCCCACATTTCACATGCATCAATAACATCCTGTTCCTCATATACTGATCTGCCTCAAATTCACTATATATCAGATGATTGAAAACTCTCTTAACCCCTCGGATTGATTTCAACCCAATACAAGCACTCACCAACGCATCATATGTGCTACTACCCACATCATAATCACCCTCACATTCCAAAATCTCAAACAATTCAAGTGCCTCTTGGTACCTTCTGTGTAAGACTAACTTCTCTATCTGAGCACAAAGTCCTGAACTAGAATTTCTGATATGGGTTTCCTCCAAATTAGTTTCTTTCTTTACATCACCGTCGATTTTCAAAGGTTTCAACATGGGTCGTGGTTTTAACCCTTGTTCTAAAAAAGAACACCTTATCTGATTACATGGGGTTCTACCTTTTCTTCTGTAGACTAAACCATACCCACAAAACAAAGCTTTTTCTTTAAAACTTCTAGGGTCTGTCCGTGAACAAGGAAAGCTACAACACATTTGAATCTCATCCAGTGGCATGTTTTGGTACCGTGACAATGGGATTTCCATATTCATTACTTTGTAGAGAAGAACAAATATAACAATAACAGTCAATGTACGAAGAGAAGCAAAAAAAATTACCTTTCAAAGCTCCGTTTTCGAACAACTAACAATCCCAGTGAATGTACAAAGATAAGCCGAGAAAAGTTAGCTTTTCAAAGCTCCGAATTTGAACTACTCCAAATGGGATTTGTTGAAAACTGGAGCGTTTTAGGAGATCGTTAAAGAAAATTAAATGTGGGTTTCGAAAGAATTGAGAGTATCACTATCAGCATCGGAAGATCCGCCGTAGTTTTGTCTCGTAATTTAAAGGGTAGTTGAGTAGGTTTAACGAACTTGGCGACTGTTACGAAGTTGTCATGCTCATTGTTTACTCCCACGGGTTGGGTACGAAACCATACCATGGATGGTTGTTGGATACTTTGATTTCCTTAATTTTCATGAATATTGTTATATGTCACGCCCTAACTGACTTGGGTTTAAATGATTGATCTCGGTGGTACCTTGCACCAAGGCATGTCATAAGTTAAAATCAAGGTAACGCGATTAAGTGGTTCGATAGATTGGGGCAAACCAAGACAGCATGAGACCACTCGATTGAGCATGACAGCACATGGTGGGCTTAATTGAAACAATGTGAGTACATAGCTTTGGATTGCATGGCATGAGTTGAACCTAGTGCACATTGGTTCGTGAAACAAGACTAGCTGCTGAATGTGGGCACATGACTTACATATGACTGCTCAATGCATGTGACCAGGAGGATGCGGCCAGTTGTAGATGATGAGACACAATTAAGACAGTTGCCGAGACAATTCTGGGTATCTCTAGTCTGAATTCAGTCCAGATGCATGTTGATGAAGGACAGTTCCACATCAGTTACTGAAAGGGGTAGAACTGTCTGCCAGGTGTCGCACAGAGACCAAACATGTTAGTCAAGTATGTTATGGAATAACAAAAACGTGTGTAACTACCCCTTTGGCAGATGAGGGTGTTATCTGCCTTACTCCTGTATAAATAGGGGTGCTTGAGCATTCTGATAGAGAGAGAGTGTTCTGGCTTTGAGAGTTCCTTGTAAATTGTTGAGTTCAATATGTAAGGTTTGAGAGTTTTGTCCCAGTAAATTCGTGTGTGCCTTCTGTGTGAGTTTTTGTCCCTTATTCTTGAGTTTGTGTGTGGCTGGTTGTAATAACAATGCCTTTATAGGTAGCCTCGAAAGAAAAACAAAAGTTACCTCGTGACATTTTGGTATCAGAGTGTGGTTTTGGCAAAAGATCAACTATGGCTGGCGGAACGAATGCTGATCTGAGGGAAAGGGTGACACGTTTGGAGGAGTTGGTTGGTCCTCCATAGTCCGGTGATATTATGGCTCTCTCTGTGCAACTTGAGTTGCTAAATCAGCGGTTTGAAGAGATGCGTGTTGCACATGAACAGCTTCAAAAGACTGAATCTGATCACTTCAGTCGAGTGAAAAACGAAGTCGTTGACGTGCTGGCTACGGTCTCCACGTGGACCGATGATATAGGAGAAAAATTGAGTTCCCTCGAGACAGATGTTTCAGTGCTCAAGAAGGCACTACAGAATACTTCTTTGGTTTCTGGCAGTGAAAGCACTCAGAAAGCTAAAGTGTCTGACCCTAAGTCTTTCACAGGCAGTCGTAATACTAAAGAACTTGAGAACTTTCTGTGGGATATGGGGCACTACTTCAAAGTAGTCCGCACTCTGGATGCTGAAAAGGTAGATCTCACTAGCATGTACCTTTCTGGTGATGCTAAATTATGGTGGCGAACACGTTCTGAGGACAAATCTCGTCCTCCAATTACTACTTGGGAGTTTCTGTCCGCTGAAATGAAAGGGCAATTCTTTCCTAGCAACACGGCTTGGCAAGCCCGTGATGCATTAAGAAACTTCGACATACAAGCACCGTGAGGGAGTACGTGAAACAATTCTCGTCTCTGATACTTGACATCAAAAATATGTTAGAGGAAGACAAGTTGTTCAACTTTATGTCTGGCCTCCAAACTTGGGCACAGGCAGAACTTCGTCGGCAAGGGATGAAGGACTTACCCGCTGCTATGTCCGCAGCAGATGCGCTGGTTGACTACAAAACTCAGGCTAACCCTCTAGAGAAGGAGTTAAAAGGAAAAAGCCAAGTTCCCTAAGAAGGACAAGCAGAAGAAAAAGGCTGAGAAGTCTAGCAATTCAGAAAAATCGATTGACAAAGCCTCTTCATCAAAGAAAGGTGCTGACTCAAGCTATTTTATCTGTAATGACCCTCATCATGCCAGAAATTGCCCCAAGAAGAAAAATCTCAGTGCCCTCATGACTGAGAAAACTGACTGTTCTGATGAACTAACACGAGTCAACCCATTACAACTCCTTCATGTAATTCGCAAAGAGGAGACGGTGGCAAAGAGGGGGTTGATGTTTGTGCAGATTCGCTTGAACAATATGGCTGTCCAGACAATGGTTAATACAGGTACAACCCATAATTTTGTTTCTGACTGGGAAGTACAGCGGCTTGGTCTGACTTTGGTGAAAGACTCTAGCCAGATTAAGGCTGTTAATTCAGAGGCAAAACCAGTAGGCGGCGTCGCAAGAGAAGTCCCTTTAAAAGTTAGTGATTGGCAAGGACCACGTGATTTTATAGCAGTCCCTCTCGACGATTTTCAAGTAATTCTTGGACTGCAATTCCTTACAAAGGCAAAAGTATCTGTTATGCCGCATTTACATGGGATGTTCGTGATAGACATGTCATTCCTTGCTTTGTTCCCCTCACTAAGGCCAAGTCTTCAGGGAAATGTTGTTTGCCTTGCAAGTAAAAGATGGATTACGGAGGGGGGAAACAACATGCTTGGCTATTTTATTTGAGGAAGAGGAGTCTAAAGCATTGCAAGTCCCTGAACCAGTGCAACAGTTGTTCATTGAGTTCAAGGACGTGGCACCTAAAGAATTGCCAGCAAGGTTACCGCCAAGACGGGAGATTGATCATGTCATCGAGTTGATTCTAGGGACAAAAATTCCTGTCTAGGCTCCTTATCAAATGTCTCCATCAGAGTTAGCGGAGCTAAGGAGACAACTTGGGGGTTTATTGGACGTTGGGTTCATTCAACCTTCCAAGGCACCCTATGGAGCCCCTGTTCTATTTCAGAGAAAGAAGGACGGATCCTTACGATTTTGTATAGACTATAAAGCCCTCAACAAAGTCATTGTCAAGAACAACTATCCAGTGCCACTTATTGACGAATTATTTGATAGATTGAGAAAGACGATTTTCTTCACCAAGATGGACTTGTGGCTAGGATATCATCAAGCCAGAATTGCAGAGGGAGATAAGGCGAAGACTACTTGTGTGACAAGGTACGGGTCATATGAGTTTTTAGTTATGTCTTTCGACTTAACCAACACCCCTGCTACATTCTGTAACTTGATGACCAACATATTTCAGGAATACTTAGATCGTTTTATGGTGATTTATTTGGACGACATAATTGTTTATAGTCAGACTCTTGAGGAACATGTTGAGCATCTTAGGCTGACTTTGACAAAGTTGAGGGAAGCCCAGTTGTATCTGAAATCAGAAAAATGTGAGTTTGCACAAAAGAAAATTTCATTCCTTGGGCATATTATTTCTACGGGCGTGGTGAAGATGGACTCGAAAAAAGTTGAGGCCATTGTAGATTGGCATGTCCCTACTAAGGTTACTGAACTGCGTTCTTTTCTTGGTTTGACAAACTATTATCGAAAATTTGTGAAGAATTATTCAAAGAAGGTTGCGGTGCTGACTGATCTTCTAAGGAAGGATAGGACATGGAACTGGTCCTATGAATGCCAGGAGGCATTCGATCGATTAAGGCGGTGGTGACGTCTAGCTCAATTTTACTATTACATGACTTTGATTTTTCTTTTGAGGTTCATACAGACGCATCAGACTTTGCTCTTGGAGGGGTGCTGGTGCAGAATGAGCATCCTGTGACATTTGAAAGTAGGAAGTTGAATGATACCGAGAGGCGGTATTCAGTACATGAGAAGGAGATGACAGTAGTCATTCACTGCATCAATGCATGGAGGCATTACTTGTTGGGGAAACATATTCTTGTCTGACAGATAATGTGGCTACCAGCTGCTTCAATTCCATAAAGAAGCTGACACCAAAACAAGCAAGATGACATGACTTTCTTGCCCAGTTTCATTTCACGTTGTAGTACAAGCCTGGCAGTGCAAATCAGGTTGCTGATGCTCTTAGTCGAATCCCAGTTGTTGATGGGATGGTTGCTGCACTTAGCCAGATTGTAGGAGACATACTGCAGAGAATTCAGGATCAGACAAAAGATGATCCATTGACCAGCTTATTGTTGAAGCAGGTTCACGAAGGGGTGACTCGACAATTTTGGATAGAAGATGGTGTTCTCTATGCCAAAGGAATGAGACCTTATGTTCCGAAGTCAGGCAGACTTCGACAGATGTTGCCGAAAGAAACTCATGATGCTCCATAGTCAGGACATCGAGGGCAGCAACGGACTCTTGACTTGCTAACAGAAAGCTATTATTGGCCCCGTATGGAAGCAAATGTGGAGTTGTATGTGCGCACTTGTTTGGTGTGCCAGCAAGACAAGACAGAAAGAAAGAAGGTGGCGGGTACTTTGGAACCCCTCCCTATTCCAAACAGACCTTGGGAGAGTGTTTCCATGGACTTCATTAATGGCTTGCCTTAGGTGAATGATTTACTTTGATATTTGTGGTTGTAGACAGATTTTTGAAGTATGCCACTTTCATTGCTGCCCCAAAAGTATGTACAGCGGAAGTTACTGCTTAGTTGTTCCTCAAGCATATTATGAAGGTTTGGGGTCTTCCGTTGGATATAGTCAGCGACAGGGACACTGGGTTTACTGGCCAATTCTGGACGACTTTATTTGAACTGTTGGGCACACAACTTAACCTTTCCACCAACAATCATCCGTAGACAGATGAGTAGATTGAGTGAGTTAATGCAATGCTGGAGGAATATCTCAGACACTATGACACAGCGAACCAGGACAATTGGGTAGATTTACTTGATGTAGCCCAATTCAGTTATAACCTTCAACAGAGCTCTTCTATTAGAATGAGCCCATTTGAGTTGGCAACTGGCCAACAACCTCTTACCCTGCATGAAGTTGTCAAGCAGAAGTCTCAAGGGAGATATCCTGCAGCATACCACTTTGCTCGGGCCAATCAGGAGAGGACCGACGAGGCAAAAGACT